TAAAATATGTGTTTAGCGAAAGTGACATATGACACGTTTACAATCAGAATAGCATGCATCACTAGAGACGTACTTTCCGCCTAGATATATTTTAGACAGAAGGGGGATAACTCGTGTGAACATCTGCTCCACAAGAAATATTAGCATCGGTTGTTCACGTAACCGGCCACTGTTGACAACTCTGATAAAGATATCTTATATAATAACCTAATATAGTTAATGAGATTGTATACGAGCTATCTTAAAATTAAGTTAACTAAGATGGATATCATATCCAAATCCATCGAAAAATATTGCAACATAATTGCCATTTGACCTGTAATTGAATAAATCAAGATAAGGATTTCATTTCTCAATTCATTATTATGGTTTATGAATTTCTACAACAAAGCATATTATTTATGATCCAACGTTTACACTCATTTACACTCTCTGTACCCCTGTAATATTGAAGGCACGCGGTTAGCTATTTGATTGGAATCAGTTAGAAACACTCGACCAATCGCTAGGCCGATACATGTCCTTCAAAGGTTACAGAGGAGCGACATCCAACTAGTCAAAGCGTGCTAATTCTTCCGTTACGCGTCCGCGAGATTCATATAATGGACATCAAACTGAAGAATCACTGACTAGTCTTCTTGTTTCATACACAATGTGGTGCACACTGAACCTTCGATTTTGTCATAACATATTCCAGGGGTGCAGAACAAAGTGCTCGTAGCCCTTTGAGTATACAGGATGAGATAAATAGTTTACTACAATTAACAAACAAACAAACAAAGATATATGGGACGGGAGGCTCCAGGTCCTACCGTCATACAAATTTACAGGAAATAGTTGGATCCTCTTTATATATCCAACTCGCTTTTATTTTCTCTAAAAGTATTTTTTCATATGTGTACGTACCATGTTATATTACAGAGATTGGCAACTCACGCAGATTTAGCAAAAACACGCATGATCATATTGTTTAGGCAGTGAAATAAGATACGCCGTGAGACTTGGGTTGCGGCTGCGCAATCACGTGGAACCGGGTCTATGAGTGTTTGTTTTGACAGCTAAAAGCACATGTCGATGCAAAAAGCTGATGACGATATTCTGGTCAATGTGTTACCTGTGAGAAATTGATCGTGTATTCTTTATGGTGTCAACATGTCACATATCCTAGACATATAAGTGAGATGGAGAAGTCTGGTGCACGATGTGCTGATAAGAAAAGCACTAGAAACATAAATAGAAAATCCCTATATAAGCCATACTGGGATGATGTGCTACAACAAGCATGGGATAATGTCAAGGTCAATGAAAGGTCATGGCTTAGATGTAATGTTTCAACAGCAGAGCGTAGGCGACATAAAGAGATATATTACATTGCTAGAAAGTCCTTTCACACTATTCATAGGCGGTATAAACGCCAATATCAGCAAAAGAAACAATCAGATCTGAATGATAAATTATTTAATAAAACTAATAGTAGGGATTTCTGGAAAGAAATTGGTAAACTAGGTATCGGGGATGACAGAAAACCTGCGATTCCCTTTGAGGTTAAGGATGACCAAGGCATAGTACATCGAGATAGCCCGTCCATTATTGAACGTTGGAAAACGGATTACGAAATGTTATTCTCTACTGATCACGGATCTGAGTCGTATAATCAAGCACATTTTATGTCCATATGCGATGACTTGAAAACTGGTAATGTACATGTATCTCCTGATACGAGTACGGATGTAGCCATGTTAAATGCAAACAAAATATTCAAGATATTTATTGTAGTATTTTAAATAATCGTTTAACAAAGTGGCTCGAAATGAATGGTAAATTGGCTGATGAACAAAACGGATTTTGCAAAGGTCGCAGTTGTCAGGACCGTATCTACACCTTATACAGTATTATAAATAACAGAAAGAACGTTGGACAGTCTAATTATACTTGCTTTATTGATTTACAAAAAGCATTCGATACGGTAGATAGAACATGTTTATGGTATAAGTTGCAACGTATTGCAGTTAAAGGAAGTATATACAATGCCATACTTTCTCTTTATGAAGACGTCACTTGTTACGTCAGAATTAATGACGTCATAACTAGTGGCATCAGTGTTCCACGCGGTTTAAAACAAGGCTGTTTAATGTCTCCAGTTATTTTTCTATATATATTAATGATCTAAATGAGGATCTGAAAAATTCTAAACATGGTATACATATAGATGATATTTGTGTTTGTTCGTTGTGCTACGTTGACGACATTGTATTAATGGCCCCCAATGAAGGGAACCTTCAGAAATTATTGGATATTGTTGCGGAGTGGTGCCGTAAATGGAGGCTTAGTATCAACCCTTCGAAGTCTAAAATAGTCCACTTTCGACCAAAACACGACCCAGAAACTGGTGTCCAGTTTACCTGCGGAATGTTTTCATAGAAACTATTAACTGTTATAAATATCTTGGGCTTTGGCTTTGGCTTGATGAATATGCTGTAAAGCACTCGGGGCCTTGACAGCTAAGTTCCCGTTTTTAATAAATTATATGAATCTCTGGTGGAGCCAGTATTATTTTACTGTAGTGCCATTTGGGGGCAATCCGAACACCGTATTATAACCAATGTACAAAATAGAGCGATGAAGTTATTTCTAGGTGTTGGAAGAAATTATTCCAATCTAGGTAAAAAAGACGTTATGAGTTGGATGTCTTGTGAATCCAAACAACGAATTGAAGTTTTTAGGCTGTGTTGTAAGTTAAAATCGGTGGATAATGACCGTATTCTGTACAAAGTGTATTCATGGTCTTCCAGGAAAGGTAAATCATGGGATGTAAAAGCTAAAAAATTAGCAAGTAAGTTTGGTATCGCCAATATTATTAATGACGCTCTAAATTCGACTAAATACGTTATGTCAAAAATCAAACAGGAAATGTTCAACAAGGATGAAGAGACGTGGTTCTCCAATCTTTGGTGTGTTAAAGGTAACATTAACGGCAATAAATTACGAACATACCGTTTATTCAAAAAAGATTTACAACCGGAACATTACGTCACCACTTTAATGCCGAGACCACACCGTAGTGTATTAGCCAAGTTAAGAAGTGGCAGCTTACCGCTACTTATAGAGACAGGTGGTATACACGTCCAGTCACTCCATTAAATGACAGGCTGTGCAATTTCTGCGATAATAAAATTGAGAATGAAATCCATTTCCTATGTGAATGTAACCTATATTTCGACCTTAGTTTGAAAGAGCAAGTAATTTAGATCAATCCTTTATTTCTATGGATCTTAACGAACAATTTAATTTTCTTATGAATGAAGAATCGCTTTAACCTGTCTTAGTTAAGTCAGTTTTCCTTCTTAATGAAAAAGAGACGTGGTAGTATTTAAAACTTGATATGCATTTTAGATTTTTTATGACTATATACCTCGTAATATATTGCTTCTAGTAGGCTACATTGCGATGCTTTCACCTTTTACTGTAATTCAGTTTTAATGATTTTAATAAATCTAATTTATGTATTTTGTATGTATATGATGTGCTAGTAATTGCCAATAATCGAGGTCCCGATGGTGGGGGAGGGGCGACTTGTCGGTAGGGATTGGCCCAACCACTCTCGCTTTTCTCCCACCATCGGATCCTGAGCATACATTCAATTTTTATGTTATGTATGTAGTATAATATATGGTTCTTTTTATTGAGAATCATTAATGGATTCTATGTTTTAATATATATAAATTTTAAGTAGTGTCTCGTAAGTCCAAGACTGGGCATATTTTGCATATGTGTATTTTTATTATGTAAGTGATGTGTTAGGTAAAATATGTGTGACACTTAAATAAAATATTTTATCATTATTATAACATATATGGCTCATAATAAGAAGCTGGTTAGAGATATTATGTAATATTTAAATACGTTTTTGAAATTGAATAATGAACGAGAAAGGAGTGCCGGTGTCATGAAAGGAATTAACCCTCGCACATCACAGCCGCCATTTGGTCTTGTTTATCCTTAAAAAAATGTATTTTCAGAGCTTAATTATTAAACTTTGCAAGTATTGTAATAACCTCATTTTCAAAAACCTGGTTAGAAATATTATCAAATAACTAATATCTAAGGATATTTTTGAAATTAGATCGTGAATTAAAAAGGAATTCGTGTTCTAATTTGTCATGAAAAATAACCCTCGCACATCAAAGCCGCCATTTTAACCTTTTTTTTTTTCAAACTGTATTTTCAGAGCTAAATTATCAAACTTTGTAATATATACGTCACTGATGTTGATGCTATTATTAGTTTGTGTTGTTTTTATCCAGCTTATAGTTACACTTTATAGACATTATGGGCAGTATATCTTATTCCATTGTTCAGACACCGTGTAGATCCAAGTCTGCACGGTCCAGCGACTTTGTTATAATTTCATTATAATTATCATCTAAACTTACATCATAAATAATGCAAGTGTAGTCTATATGACTGAATATGGTTCGGATGCTGGATATCGGTATGAATTTGATTTCCTGGTCAAGATACATTAATTGCCTTATTAGGAGTGCATCTCATTATACCAAATTTGGCTGCTGGTTTAAAACTAAGGTTATTAAATTATATCTCACGGATCAAAAAGTGTTTAAGCGTTCCTTATTTTAAACCTATATAAAATAAAGAAGGAACATTTTTTTAAATTTGATTTCAGCTTTTATTTGACTCGATATATAACGTTAGTCTAGAATTAAATGTTTGAATTGAATTTCTTAAAGTTAACATGACGTTTTTAGAATTTAAAATATCCTAATTTTAGAATTTAAAATATCCTAATTTTAGAATTTGTAAAAGTTTTGCATTTACCTCAATTTATTTGAAAAGTTTAATTAAGTCCTAGACCAACTAAGTTTTCATCATAGATGTTGTGTGGATAGACGACGTTTGACGTAAACGAACGATGGTTACCGAGCGTCAATCACCAATCAGATTAGTTTTTACAACCAGTGTTTGGCAAGGGTAAACAGAACTCTTCGGTGGGCGATGCCACTTGCTGGTTTCCGGAATGCGGATGAAAGTTTCCTGAGCGACTAAACAGTTAATTGGCGGCAGTTACATCAACAGTTATGTGTGTATAAACTTTGGCGCTTTCACAATGAATCCGCTTCGTGTACTCAGGGGTAAATTTAAGTATACAGTACAGTAAAATGATAACAAATGATAAGTCCTCTCTGGCCATGGTCATGGAGGAAAGCTTCCGTAAGGTCTGAAAACTTCCTTCTAGACTTACTTATTTGTTTTTCAACGATTATACAGACTTTAAACATGGTTTAATGATTATTAAAGAAGTATGTAGTAGTTTAGTTGATGTTGGCAGCTTGTATTTGACTGTCACTATAATATAGACAACATATTTTTGTTTGTTGATAAACAATTCCCGAAGTTAGTAAATCTAATAAACGAAAATGGGGGATAATTCAGATCATGATGGGTCCGACGAGGAAGATTACATTGGTTTCGGGTTTGCCACGAGGAAACTTGCAGCGTTGTATGACTATACATATGTAGATGACTCCGGCAAAACAGTACATATGACTAAAGGAGAGGAGTATCACTTGTTGGAAAAGTCAAATGATTGGTGGGAGGTTTTTAGAGCCGGAGACTCTACCGATCTTTCATTTTATGTCCCTGCAAATTATGTCAAGTTCGTAGATGATAGTGAAAGTAAGGCTAAAACCAAACAGACAAGTGATTCAGATTTTGAAGGGGATCCAGGAAGTGAAATGAGTTCACTTGGTCTTGACACACGTAGTATATCTCCATCTCTTAAAAATGGCGTGAGTAATGCAGACGATACTGAAGGAAATCACAAACCGGACAAAGCAATGGATATATATGCCAACAGTAATGTTAGTACTTTTATGACAAACAACAATGTAGATGTTTCATCGAAGAATGGCAGTATAACAGTACGGCCTGGTATGTACCGTAGGAGTTTATCCACTGATGATGGAGGGGATTATATGAACTTAGAAACATTACGAGAACAAGCAGGTTTACCATCAGCACCCAGGCCACCTCTTCAAGATGTAAGTATAAAAGTCATTATTTATCACTAGTGATGTAAAATATCCAAACTTTTTATGATGTCACAGAAGAAATCAAATTTCAAATTTAAAAGGGATTTTAAAGCTGCATGGCTATATATAGCTTTAATAACTGTATAACGGAAATTTGTGTATTGTATACTATGCACCATTTACACTTTATAACATAAATATTGTGGTGATATCTCAACTACAATATGTGTTGGTTGTTTCTCAACAACATACAATTGTGATGGTATTACCACAGTAATAAAAGATTTTATCATATGTGAGATTATTATGATAGGGAAATTCTATGGGAGGTTTAGAATTTGGATTGGAACCGAATTTGAAGCTTAGCCCAATTTCTATCATACTCAAGGCTTGTCAAGGGTAGGGTTTCCCTATCCCACATAATGATATATGACTCTTTTATTTTCTCCCACCTTGAGCTCTTACACAGGGATTCTGTTAACATCAACAATGACATAGCAAATGCAGCAAGCAGATTTTCTAAATAACATACAAATTTACCAAGAACATATATTTAAAAAGAGCATGCGCAGGAGAAAGTATGGTATATCCTAAAGGCGTTAAATACATGAAAGGATTTCGAAAATCTTTACTGATTGTTTGTTTAAACCAATCTGCATCAATTTCCAATGAGATAATGTCAGATTCCAGCTGTGGCTATAGATCTATATTCTTCTACTGACAAAAATGTTAATTTGATAACGTCAGAACATATGTCCAATATGGCACTGAACATTTTGATCACTGAAACGTTATGTTTTAATGCACTTCCTAGTCAGGATTTAGATGATAATGTGGTCCATTGTCACTGGATGCACCTATGTGGGCCAGAGTTTTCCCACAAGGGTGTTCCACAAGGAAACATGAGGTATCTTGCAAATACAGAGGCCGGTATGTCATTGGTAGCTTTGTTAAATATGAACAAAGTATGAACAAATCAAAGTTTAAAATGCAGTGATTTTTGTATGATTTATTTCATGTGCATCTTGACCAAATTTGTATTTGTGTCCAAAAAGAATCACAGAAATGTTTAGTATTGTAACGATTTCCACCGACGGTTGTCACAGTCCGCTTCGCCACTATTTCGCTACTACTTCCCTATACTGGCGAAGCCGGACCTCGATAACCGTCGGTGGAATTTGTTACAATATCAACTACAAAAGCTTGTACAATACATGCACATCTAGTGCTTATCTTGATAAGTATTTAGTTGTAGATATATCAAGTTGATGACCCAGTATTTATAAATGTGTATGATGTACAAATATATGTAAGATATAATAAAGTAAAAACAACAGTTTCCTTTTTATGTGTAGAGCATATAAGATTGCAGTACTTTCTGGTTGATTTAAAGCTTTTCAAGGAAACATTTAATTGAAGTACTTATAAAACAAAGGAAACAGAAAGTTCTTGGAAATCCTCCTTGTTTCTTTGTTTATTTATTATAAATCCATCAATCTATTAATTAAGGAAATCTTTCAGAAGACTATATAGAATTTATTACTGTATATGTGAATTGGAAATGTTTTCTTGTCCAAATATTTCGATACAAGTAACAAATATGTAAATGTACCAGAACTGATCTCTAACACAAGATATACAGATAATCCCCATTTGCTGAAAAAATCTAATGTTGATTAAAATGATGATTAATGAAATATGTTATAGATGTGACAGTGTAGTGCTAGTCTACAGAGACTGTCTAATGAGGTACGTTGTAAATATGTAAAGTGGTCTACATTTCCTCTTCATTGCCTCTATATAAATTAAGTAAAGTCAGTTGTGAGTAATAATGAGAACATCAATCTGGAGTGGAGATCATGACCCCTTAACAATTGTGATGTCACAATCATAACGTTGGCGATAGCTGGCTGATACTGGCTTTTGATTATATAACCGCTCCATTTATTGAAAATCTATCCCATAATTTAAGAAGACTTGTAAAGTTCTGATCATGGTTGCAGATGAATATTCATAATGCACTAACATGCGTTATTCAATTTGTCTTCACTAATGTGGAGTTCATATATGGACTAATTAAGTTAAACTAAGTTCAGTCCTACTCATGCCAAAGTATATATGACACTAATTTACATTGCCTACAGAGGTCTGTTTTTGTTTTGTTACCTGAATTTTACAACAGCCTGTTCCTTTATAAATTAGGAAAATATAACATTATTTGTATTGAAATTAGGAATATATTGCTCAGTTTTTGGTCATTTTGGGAAAATTAGGGACTTTTCAGCTAGAGGAAACAGCCTGTATTCGGCTGTAGAACTGAGCAGGTAATCACTGGATGTGAACATTGTAGTAGATTATAAGCTTGCCCTCCTGAAGCGATATTGAGCCTGATGTTGGCATGGTGTCCATCGTTCATCAAATTTTCCTTTAAATGACTTTTTTCTGAAGAACAAAAAGGGACAGTGTCAATGCATTAGCTTCCTGGTAGCTCCTTGACGGATCTGGATAAAAATTGTTAAAAAAGTATCTTGACAAGCTCCAAAGTCAAGCATACATGTGCTATGTATATCAAAAAAAAACAAAAAACATTTTTCTGAAGAACCAAAAGAAGGCCTAGATTCATGATATTTGGCTGTTAGATTTCATTAAGGGACCCTGATCATGACAAAGTTTGTGAAAAAGTGATCTTGACCTACTTTTAACTTCATAGGGATCAAGGTACTGTAGGTTTTGAAATGAAATGTTGGTATTGATTATCAGAGTATAAACAACTGGTTGAAGTTCGGTGAATTGGATTTTTCAGCTGTAAATGGTAATTAGTTTTGCTTTGGGTATTTAATTTCATGCCTTCTTCCATTTTCGTGGCCTTTTTAATTCTTCAGTATTATCTATTGAGTTCTTCACAAGGTATATGTTGTATAGTACTCCATGCAAGCAAGCTACTGGCCATACAAGGTGATCATGACTAGGCCATACTTGAATAGATTAGTTAATTTACTGGTTGAAAATGTTAAATTTAAGGGTCTAAAATTGGGAGTGGTCCCCACCCCCCAAACAAATAAAAATAGGGAGGGTTGGCAAGTCTACAAGGAATATTGGCGTCTTAAGAGTAGTGAGATTTTAAAAAGATTTGACCCTCTTTGACCTGGCTTGAATAAAGGTTAAGGTCATTTCCTTCATAATTCTTTAAGGTCAAGGTAATTTCTTCCGTAACTTTGAAGCATCCCATGCATGTGATGAGTAAGTTACGAGCCATACGCCAGGACTCATTATAATTATCTTTTGGTTTTCCAGAAAGAGATATTCGAGTGTAAACAAGTCTTCAGGCCATGTACTTATGTGGCCTCAAGCCCAAATCAATGAGTAATCAGGTCTAATTTAATGTTGCCTTATATAATTAGGGCCCAAATAAATGAGTCTTAAGGTCCCAAACTAAAGAGGTCTGAGGCCCAAACAAATGAGGTATCAGGCCCCAAACCAAAAAGTCCTTAGGCCCAAAACCGATGAGTCCTCGGTCCAAAATGAATGAGTCCTAATTATAAATAAGATCCCAAACCAACAAGTCCTTATAGGCGCCAAACCAATTACTCCTCATGATCATGATCAGATCCTCTGAGTTCAAAAGGCTGTACTAATGACTTTTTAAAATGTTGTTAGGCCCGGTTCCAGTCTCCTCGTGCTCCATACTAATGAGCCCTCATTTCTACCCTAAGGTTATACATGTATTATGAATAATGAAAGTTGTGTAGTAATGAATTGATCAACATTCAAATTAACATACATCAATGTCAAGCACACTGAGATATAAGGCCCTGTGTACAGCATGCATGTGTCAGCTGGATGACCTACACTTGAGATGTCCCAGCCCACTAGTACTACAGTCTATAAATAAGGGACATTGTACTACAGTGTTGACTGAAGAGTAGAACATAAAATACCAATCTTAATCTGTACTAATTACCTGAATGGCAAGAGAAACATTATTTTGGAGATCTCTACATCCAATAACACCCTAAGCTAGTATACCCTATGGTATCATTTGGCCTCATAGATAAAGACTGTGGTCTTATTCCATCACTACCGTCTCTCAGTGTTTTTGTTACCTAAATTTTACAAAGTTCTGCATTTTCCTTTATGCATTGGGAAAATATAGCATTATTTGTATTGAAATAGGGAATATATTTCTCAGTTTTTGGTCATTTTGGGAAAATAAGGCACTTTTTAGCAAAGGGAAACAGCCTGTATCTCACCAGGCAGTAAAGCTGAGCAAAAATCACTGTCTCTGTATAAGAACTGTCTCTGTACACAGGTATTGTAAGTATTAGGACAACTAGATCGGGTCATCATGGGTGACCTGGTAGTTCCATTAGTTAGAGTGTCCGTCTAGAGTTTGGTAGTCGCAGGTTCAAATCCTGATCTGGCATTGCGTTTTTCCTCTCCAGTTACGGTGGTGCCATGACCAATCCTCGCTTCAAGTACTGGGTGTATGCCTGGCAAAGGAATATCGGAACCTAGTAATGATGTTATTTTGGGGGACAAAGAGTTATAAAAGGAGGGAAGAATGAAGTGAAATTAGATTTGGTCAATCACTGGCAACCAGGAAGCTCAATTGGCTAGAGCATCTGTTTATAGGTCGAAGGTCCCGGGTTTAAATCCTAGCCTGGCTGTGCAGTTTTCTTCTGTGATTGCATATAATGTCTACGATGTACCTCATCATACCAGTCTCTGTAGTCTGTTATAAATTACGATATATACAGGAATCCCAATTGGCTTGTATCAGGGTAGCAGGTCAAATTTACTTCTAAAGGCCAACATACAGTATGGTTACCTCCCACATTATGGTTCCAAACTTGTTTGAAGATATTAGGGGGGTATACTGGAATCACACTGTCTGTCTGTCTGTCTGTCGTCCGCAGTAACTTGTCCGGAAAAAACTCCTCCTTAATTAACAGGTGGATTTCATTGAAACTTTGCATGAATGATCAGTATCTTATGTAGTTATGCACTGGTATTTTAATTTGGGATTTCGACCCTTTTTGATGGAGTTATGCCCCTTTGTGCGAAATACTTGTTAATGTTTGTTTTTTTGTTTTTTGTTTTTAATAAAATAGTGATTAACTCATTACTGGTGGGAGACTATATTGTTTTGCATTAGTAAGCCTTTAGCTTACAGTTCTGGTTCATATAGGAGCGGGGGTATTAGTTAGCCTTTGGCTTACAGTTCTAGTTTTACCTGGTATTCTACACTTTATCAATCTAATTGGAAGACTTTAAGCTTAAGTCACTCTAGGAATCTGACCTTCAAAGATTTAAAAGTTGAGTAATTTATTTAGATCCCAGACTTCATAGCTACAGGCTAAATATAATGATCCTTCATCAGGAAACGTATTCATGAAATCGTTCTCTTGCTCAAAATCAGATTCTATACTCAAGCCCAGTCTCTTGTTTTCATTTTGTCAATGATTTGGAGGAATTTTGAAGTGACTTAAAGCCAAAATACTTAATTCAATGTTTACATTTGAATTTTTGATTATGTGACATTCTTTAAGTGAATCAGAGGAAAGTTGATATGAGCACAAAACCATGGTTGAGTATTAAGATTTTGTGTTTAAGTTAGTTTCTCTGAAAGTATAAATGCTACACCAACCAAACTTGCAATTGGACCATAGATGCATCTTAGGTAGTACATCTCAACCCATGCATCAAATGCTGGATGCGGCCTACCTTTCATGCTCCATTGACTTTGTCAGCATCTCCATCAACATTAAGTTTTGGCGTTTAAGTTAGTTTCTTTGAAAGTAAAAGTGCTACACCGACCAAACTTGGGCCATAGATGCATCGTAGGTAGTGCATCTCAACCCATGGATCAAATGCTGGATGCAGCCTACCTTTCATGGTCCATTGACTTTGTTGGTATCTCCATCAACATTAAATTTTTGCATTTAAGTTAGTTTCTCTGATATGTGCATTGATGGTCAAAGCGGGGCATAGCGCGAGACATATCAATCCAAATGGCTTGTTTTTTTCCAAACTTTGTTGTGCTCTTTCTGGAGAAGCTACTAGCCTAATATCATGACTCTAGGCCTTTTGTGACATTTAATATACCCTATAGGGTTGTTAAAAATAATCCCAGTTGATGAATGCTTTGCTGAGGACTTAACTGGTGTTATCATGAACAGTGTAAGGAACAGATGTTCCTCTTTTCATAAATATTTTTATGTTTGGAGCAAATATTTCACTTTTCATAAATATTTTATGTTTGGAGCAAATATTCCACTTTTCATAAATATTTTATGTTTATATATGTATGAAGGAAGACTTTCTGACGTACATTAACTTAAAGGGGCTGGTTGGGGAAAAAATTACAAAATAAATGGGTCTAAATGCGCTCTCTGGCCTTCCAAAAGTTATACCACGGCAATATGATGGTCGAGTTCTGCTTGCAATGTCCAGTTTTGACCACTGAAATCTCGGTGAAGCCCCGCGTAAATTTAGCGCAGATCTATTTATATATGTCACGTGGTTGTTTCGAAAGTGAGGCAGTGAAGATAACAACAATAGCACGCCGTCACGTGCCATGTCGGACTCAACTAGCGGACAAGACAGCAATACTATACGTAAATAATTGTTTTCAAAGGTCATGTATGATGCAAGTGTAGTATTCCTACCTACATGTTGTTGTTATATATAACGGTATTGATACCTCGTGCCTGTCATGACTTTTGCATGCATCTTTTTCTTTCGCCGCGATGTTTACATTTGGCCTTGTTGATGACGCGCGTGCGGTAAAATTACATCACTGATCTGGGTCAATTGAGAGTTGTAGACTGGCAGGTGCCGATTTAGGATTTCTTTAATATAATTATAATTTTTACTCTTAGGAGGGAATTTCAGCAAAATTTGTATCGGTATATTTCATAAGAAGGTATTTTAAACATGTGTATGCCATTTTAGCAAATATGACATTTTTTTTCCCAATCAGCCCCTTTAACAACCCAGGAAGTGATGAAGTTCAGGTTACAGGGTATTGTGAAATATGTTGGTAGCATCACGCTATTATTAAAAATTTCGTGTCAAAATTAGGACCACGCCCATTTAATTCACAGTTTTAAAATTTCTCTACACATGATAAAGTCGTGACTGCCTCCTACCCATTATACTTAAATCTTATATGTACAGCTATGAGATCAGTGATAATAAATATAATATAAACATAAAAGCGGTTCAAAAGCACTTCAAGATTCTAGGATAAGATTATTTAAGATAAAGCTTACAAAGGGAATAAAATATACACTGTACCGGTCAATGTGTAGACTGTATAGGTCAGAGATAACCACATACAATGTATTACGCAGTCATTGTAGGTATAGAGTTTACTAGTGTCGTATTTACTACGTAGGTGTTAAGTTTGAGTGTATGCCGTGATGATGTACACATCACCAGATGTATACATTGTTTCACTTGAGTTATATTTAGATACGAGTCATTTAACACACACCAAATAATAAGATGGATGTTACACTATGGTTACTTATATATTACCTACTGAAATGTACCTGTTGGTAAATATCTACCTGTAAAAGTGGGATAACCTATAGTCATGTCACGCTTGCTGGTTAGATATACAGTAATATACTTTAAAACTCAGCGTCATTCATAGTTGAACTTGACATTTATTACATAGACTTGTACAAGTCCCTTATACTATCTAATGCTACATTCGGTCTAGACTAGTGTTCATGAGACACCCTCAAGCTTGCAGACTGAGAGGATATATACATCACTCAACCAAGATATAGGAAAAGCTGTCTGGCTATGTATCGTACACTTGATTGACCTGTTTTGCAACAGGGAGCAATTAATATAAATTCATTTGTTGGTATGGAAGTTGGCTAAAACAAATGTGAACAGATTCAGCATTGCTATATCTAGATCTGTAACTTCATGATTCTTTCTCTGCTTTGGTACTGATTTCTAGGGGGAGGGGGGTATTTTGTTAGCCGATTCTTTTCCACGTTGATGTTTGTTTTTTTAGGGGAAAACACTATATATTGGCTTTAGCTGAATCATCCTCCAGTAAAAATTTTAGATCAGGAAAGAAAGTGACTTTTACAACTGTTTTTTACAACCTCTGGTATACGCACTGACACTATGTTGAATTTAGTGATCATTTTATCAGCATGTCATACATGTATAGACTTGTACAAGTCCACAACTAATGTGATTTGTCTATCATATACATATAGGGATTGAACAGCTACCGGGCTTCATGCAATATCGATGTTACCTATTTGCGTTCATACAGGTACACCGGCCGGCATGAAAATTAAAAAAACGCCATTTGTTCCATATAGGTATATATACAATTTTTAGGTCACCTGTTCTAATCGCTTTCCGTCCGTCGTCGTGCGTTGTGCATAAACTTTTTACATTTTCAACTTCTTCTCAAGAACCAGTGGATGGATTTTTTTCAAACTTGGTCAGAATCATCCTTGGTAGATGAGGCTACAAAATTGTAAAATTGGAATTCCTACCCAAACCCCTGGGGCCAGGGAGGGGCCCCAAAGGGAAAATTAACCAATATTTCAAAAATCTTCTTCTTCAGACTCAGAGGTACTTTGACAGTCATTTTCCCTGCATGGAAAGAAAGATCATCTGAGGCTTTACTTCCATTGTAAATTTCAGGACCCTTGAGCTATTCGTTCTCCCTTGGGGAGGGGGTAAAGTTTACTATAGTTTATATAGGGAAATAACACTTTTGGGTATATTTTATCCATTTTCTTATCACATTTTGTATATGCGTCGTCCTTTAAACGATATTGGCGGAACAGGCCTATTCAAAATTGGCGCCAATAATTAACCATAGTCATTTGAGCATTTGATTAACATTCTCCATGTTATCCGAAGCAAGGTAACGAGACTATATATCATTGAACAAGGTAAATCTATGACGTCATAAGTAAACCATGTGTCACTTCACTAACATTTCTGCTTTCATACTCAAATGAAATGCATTTCTCCTGGTAATGTTCATACAAGTATAGACTTGTACAAGTCCCTTATTTAACGTGATATGCTTGTCATGTAAACTTGAATGTAGAATTGTACAGTTGTTATATATATATATATATATGTCATGTACATATATGAATGTGAACTTGTACAGGTCCCTTAGTTATCTAATCTTAGATGTAAATGAAAGACTGTTCTTTTTTTTCCAGGGGGAAAGTATTTATGCAAATGTCCAGGAGTTAAACATCGAACCACAAGTCAAGTTTACCCTGACAGCTCCATCTCAATCACCGCCTGTTTCACCAGAAGAACCTCCTATTCCTGATGAAAAGAACTGTCCCTTTTTAAGGACACTACTCAATGTCTGGGAAATGTACCTCGACCCCATCACAAAGCGTAGCTTCTATATCAACAAGGAAACTAACGAAAAGACATGGAAACCCCCACGATATCCAAAAAAGGTAATGCATTTTTCATATTAAAATTATCAAAGCTTTTAAAATTTTGGACTTGGTACAACTCTAAAATGAAATTGTTCGGGTGATACATAAAACACAAATGAAAATTCATTTCTATGTCATTATCATCATGTATTTGTTACCAAAAAATTAACTACATAATGAAATCTTTGTAGTCTGTTTAATGTAAGTTTTGCCACATTTCGATTGAACTACGACATCTTGTATCTGTAAAACGCCAGTCAACTTTATACTGTGTAGAAGTCCGACTTTCTTTGCACATATTTTTTTTTCTCTTTCATGATAAATACGGACTTAATTTTTTAAGCAAAGAAAGAGTCAATCATGTATTCTAATCATTATTCTTGTTAATAAGATTTTTTTTTTATTCTCATATTGTTTATTTTGTGAAATTAAGTTTAAGCATTTGTAAAGATTTTAACATTATAAAGGATTATCTTAGTGTAATGAGTTCTCTTTATCTAGCAAAGACTTGTATCTTGTACTCACACTTCCCTGTAAAGAAGTTAAGTGTTCGTCAAGGAAAATGTAACATAATTCTGCATGAGTTATCAGATATATATCGGTAATTGATGTGATAGTATTAATGACATAGATGTATGTAAACAATCAATACACATTACATAAACAGGTCCGTGCTGATCTACTTTTACATCCTCAGAACATGACTAACCATTTAATGTACAGTGTATGATTACAGATCGGTCGAAATTATAGTACCGTATTCTACACAATGACCACACAGCTCTGCTAATTATAGTACCATATTCTACACAATGACCACACAGCTCCCCTAATTATAGTACCGTATTCTACAAAATGACCACACAGCTCTGCTAATTATAGTACCGTATTCTACACAATAACCACACAGCTCTGCTAATTATAGTACCGTATTCTACACAAAGACCACACACCTCTCCTAATTATAGTACCATATTCTACACAATGACCACACAGCTCTCCTAATTATAATACCGTATTCTACATAATGATCACACAGCTTAATTATGTAGTCTTGGTGTTTATAAAGATTGTTAGTGTGTTTATAAGGAACTGTGTGTGTTTATAAGGAACCGTTATATGTATTTCAAGAATATAAGTGTGTTTATTCGTTACCTCAATGTTTTTATAAAGGGCTCTAAATATAAGTAATCTTAGTGTGTTTATATGTAGTTCTTATTTATGAAATTAAAAAAAAAATCTACTTGTAAATTTTTAAGGATTTTGTCATTACCACATTTAACAGTGCAAATATTAATGTAAATTTTATATTAGCTTAATATAAGGCACTGAAAATAGAAGACTAGAACTGAAAATTGGGAGCGGGAAATAGATTACTAGGAATACGGTAATTGGATAGGGCACTCAGGATATGGGACAGGATACAGGGTCCAGAGAATATGATACTACAATAAGGTATAGAGATTAGGGGGCTAGCTATATAGGGTGACAGGCATATAAGATACAGGGATAGGGTTACTGAGTGTAGGGTAGGAATAATGGTGTACTGGGAATACGGTAAAGAGTATAAGGTACTGGGAAACATATAGAATGTCAGCACTTCTGATGTGCATAAAATAGATCAGTTTGATATAGATTCAAAAATTTCTAATTTCATTTCCAACTCCTGCAAAATTAAATTTGTCTTGATATTTTATCATTACAATGAATATCTTTGACGTGGAGATAAGTATGATGAACATGGTACTGGTCTTTATCTTTGTGGTAAATAGCTGTTGGTGTATAACAGTGTTACCAGCTGGTTTAATATATATATGGAACACGTTGGAGATATGTAATGTATTAAAGGTAGATAGTCCCAGCGCTCTGTGTTGTATTTACAATGAAGAAGAGTTCCAAATTGCTTGGCATTTTCCTGACTTAGAGTTGCTTGTTCATGCACTTACTGCATGAAAGGATATATGAATGAAATATATATTTAGTAAAAGTTTCACAAAAAGGTCACGGCTCCACCATAAGGATTCAGTTCCAAGACATCTGGATTTGCTAATAAAGCAGGTTTCTTATCCACAGTGTTATCGGTCGTGATACTGTGTATTGGTTTAATTTCCTAGTGCTAACATTTTGACGTTGTCCCATTCAGAACTAGTTTGCAGGGATTGAATTTTGCGCAGCATGGCTAGGTAAAATAATCACCCTCACGAGGACATTTGTGTATTTGATGAGTAAGGGGATCAAGTATGCTATAGTGAAATTCAATCCCTTGCTAATATTACCAATTATACAGTATTTGTTGACGGTAATAATTTCTGTAACATTACTCAGAATCATTTCAAAATGTTCTTAAGTTTTCTTAAGAAGCATGCAACCTATAATTGGTTTATATTATTTATATAGAGAAACTAGCATAAAATTGACAGATATTGGTAAAAACAACTTTTCAAGGCTGGTATGTAAGTAGAGAAAAGAGGGACTATATATCTGCCTTCTCATGCTGTGTCTGGTCAACTGGGGAAAATGCTCATTGCCCAAAATGTATTACTTCATTGTTTGAAAACCTGCCTCATTTAGAAAGTATAAGATTCCATGGAAGCTGTACATGACTCAGGGTTTAATTTCTTTATTCTCATACTCTGTATGAGCTTTTAACAAGACATATGATATTAGGATTACTTACTCAGGTAATTGTGTAGACCGTAAGAACGTTTACCTGTATCAGGTATACAAAACATAAAATATAATCCTGTTTATTTTTGATAAGCATATAAAAGTGTCTACCTGTAACAGGTGTATAAAACATTAAAAACAATCTGTGTAATTTAAATGAGAATAACAAAGATAACCTGTACTAGGAAAACAAAATGTTAGATTATCTTTTGAATGTGTATATGTACATGTGTATAAACTGTATATCTAAGATAAGAGTGACGTACATTACTTTGTTATAGTGTAGGAGTGTGTGTATTAACGGTATATCTAAGATGAGAGTTACATTATAGTCTAGGAGTGTGTGTATTAACGGTATATCTAAGATGAGAGTTACATTACTTTGTTATAGTCTAGGAGTGTGTGTATTAACGGTATATCTAAGATGGGAGTTACATTACTTTGTTATAGTCTAGGAGTGTGTGTATTAACGGTATATCTAAGATGAGAGTTACATTACTTTGTTATAGTGTAGGAGTGTGTGTAATAACGGTATATCTACGATGAGAGTTACATCACTTTGTTATAGTCTAGGAGTGTGTGTAATAACGGTATATCTAAGATGAGAGTTACATTACTTTGTTATAGTCTAGGAGTGTGTGTATTAACGGTATATCTAAGATGAAAGTTACATTATTTTGTTATAGTCTAGGTGTGTGTGTATTAACGGTATGTCTAAGATGAAAGTTACATTACTTTGTTATAGTGTAGGAGTGTGTGTATTAACGGTATATCTACGATGGGAGTTACATTACTGTGTTATAGTCTAGGAGTGTGTGTAATAACGGTGTATCTAAGATGAAAGTTACATTACTTTGTTATAGTCTAGGTGTGTGTGTATTAACGGTATATCTAAGATGAGAGTTACATTACTTTGTTATAGTCTAGGAGTGTGTGTAATAACGGTGTATCTAAGATGAAAGTTACATTACTTTGTTATAGTCTAGGAGTGTGTGTATTAACGGTTTATCTAAGATGAGAGTTACATTACTTTGTTATAGTCTAGGTGTGTGTGTAATAAGGGTATATCTAAGATGGGAGTTACATTACTTCGTTATAGTGTAGGAGTGTGTGTATTAACGGTATATCTAAGATGAGAGTTATATTACTTTGTTATAGTCTAGGTGTGTGTGTATTAACGGTATATCTAAGATGGGAGTTACATTACTTTGTTATAGTGTAGGAGTGTGTGTGTATTAACGGTATATCTAAGATGGGAGTTACATCACTTTAATATAGTCTAGGAGTGTGTGTAATAACGGTATATCTAAGATGAGAGTTACATTACTATGTTATAGTCTAGGAGTGTGTGTAATAATGGTATATCTAAGATGAGAGTTACATTACTTTGTTATAGTGTAGGAGTGTGTGTAATAACGGTATATCTAAGATCAGAGTTACATTACTATGTTATAGTCTAGGAGTGTGTGTAATAATGGTATATCTAAGATGAGAGTTACATTACTTTGTTATAGTCTAGGAGTGTGCGAGACACTGCCTCATCTCACTACAATTCGGTATGTACTCGTTTTGTACCTGTCATTATATATATTTATTCCAGCATCAAATGCTTGCTGCATGACGCTCTATTATAATATGTATTTAACATGTAATCTCACATATGCTTGTCAGCTCATGTCAATCAAGGGAAAGTGAGCTTATGCCATGGCTTGGCATCTGCCCATTCCTCTGTGGTCAAGCGTCTAACTTAAATGACTTCTTCTAATGACCTGTAAAGCTTAGAGTAATGCCATTCGGCCTTTAACTTGGTAGAAGTGGAAAGACCTGATATGTTCAAATCAAACACCTTAGCCCACTGTTTTAAAAACATTAAAATCGATTTGACCTCAACTTTATCTGAAGGCTACAGATATGAGATATCTTTACCTACAACATTAAATAACAGGTGAACAAGTCAGGTCCATTGGGTATTGATTCTTAATCAGTAGCATGCTAATTTGAAAAGCTTGTTCAAAGGATAAATTTGACTTGCCCAAGGTCAGCAGGATCAAATTTGTTCAATTCTTTGAATGACTTCTTCAAAATTACAAAATATGTATAAGACCATGATATTTTGCCTATGCAGATATAATGGGCATTCATTGTTCAAATACCATTGACCCACTTTCAAGGACACTGGAGTCAAGTGTGTGAAAATGTTTGAATAGGCTTCTTCTGCATATCGGAGTGACCTGGGTCATGATGTTATATGTACTATTACTATTATTATATACTATTATAATAATATTATAATAATATTATAATATTAGTATATTATTATATTGTGGACAACCTAAACTTGTCCACACTGTTGGAATTACTTCTTTGCCCCATATTATTATATACTAATATACTATTATTATATACTAGTCCAATGCTGTATCCTCGCTTGCAGATATGATGACTAGCTTGCACAGATCCCCCTAACAGAGAGAGGACATTATGACCCATTGTTAAAGTCTGGTAATTTGTTGTTCAGGATTGGTGTTTTATAGATTCTCTGATGTTTTTTCATGCAGCCTTGTGTGTTTTTAATGAGTCTATAATGTTTATAACATGCCGTCTGGCATTATTTTGATGAAGTCTGATGTTTTTAAAAAACAAAATCTGATGTTTCATAGATACGGTCTGGTCTGCTGATTCATTTATTCATTTCAGTGGGTGTTTTTTTTGTGATCTTTTGTTTTCTTGATGGCATCTGGTGATTTGTTGATGCAGACTGGTATTGGGTTATTGCATGTTTCCACCATTTATTTCATTGTTTATTTATTACTTTCAAAGGAGTGTATGCTGCGCCTGGCTGCTTTCTCATAAACTTTACAGAGTGATACAGTCCCAATGTGATTCATCCATGTAACATTTCCATCTTTTCATCCATTAACTCATTCACCCCTGACATTTCATAATGAACTATACCAACCTTTGAATTGGAAGAGTTCAAATGTGTCTTCAGGGGTGAATGAGTTAAGATACAATAATGCATCCGAGGGATTTTAAGTGTGTCTATTGGCGATGGACATGTGTATGTTGTTCCACATTGCAGTATTCTTGTTTTAAATAGGAATTCCTTATTTAGCTCATTCAACCCTGAATACACATTTGAACTCTTCCAATTCAAAGGTTGGAATAGTTCAATATGAAAAATCAGGGGTGAATGAGTTAAGCATGAACTAACCCATATAGCATCCTTGTGCATGGTTTATTGAATCAAATGACCTTGACTTGAATGGTAAGACATTTTATATATATATATATATACTTTGCAATGGTACCAAGTATGAGCATGTCACACACGGGGTAAGCTGGATTAATTGACCTTTGCTTTTTTTGTCCATACAAATGTAATACATTTTTACAACAATGAATCAATGCAATAATGACAATACATGATAATTAAAAAAGTTTGTGAATGCTACTTAGGATATACAGTCTTAGAATCTGCATACCATATAGACAATGTGTCCATAAAATATTGATTTCTTTTATTTACCTACTGAAATTTATCATTGACCAAATTTTGACCAAAAAGTATTCTTGATTAGATTTCATTAAATTGCTGAATAAGTGTCTGCTCCATATCTCGTGTAATTTTCAACAGATTCACTTCAAACTTCCTTGGGATGGTAACATAAGCAGCACGAGAGCTCAGAGTTTTTTTTTAAATTACTATTAGCCATTATCTGACTCTAAAGAGTTATGGCCCTTTATTGAACTGCCGAAATGGTGTCCGCTCAATATCTCAAGTAATTTCATACGGATAATATTCAAACTTCATACTCATAGGAAGGTTATGTTAACAACCACGAGAGCTCGGACAAGTTTGATAACCACCGTTACTGACTGCAATTTACTGAGTTATGCCCCCTGAATCAGTGGGGAGTGAGTGTATAATCACAATTATCTGACCTTAATTAATAGACTTAGTCTCCTTGGTTTCATTAAAGCAATACTATATGCATGCAAAGATGCTTATCTACCAGGTATTGTTGAATTATTTCTCCTTGAACATCAATAACTCACAAATATTTCATTTGTTTAAACAATACAAACAGCTTCTCATTCAACCTGTGACGGGCGTATTATGTTCTGCTTTGCAGTAACCTTGTTGGTATATAGATTCTAACAAAATTCTACTTTTCAAGACAAACTACATGTATTAACCCCAGTCTTCGGAAACAGTTTACCTCTGAGGGATAATCAACAGTTATTTCCTTTCTGCGCATATCTTTAACTCATTATTTAGACATACAAAATCCACACGGCAAATAAAGTTGATTATCGCTAACGTTTTCAAACCTTACGGCCATCTTCAAGTGATTGCTTTTTATGTCTTGGTTAAAACATTGTGACATAAATATACAATCCATAGAATAAGGGGAGGTTATAACGTTATCAGGATAAGGGGAGATAACAATATTGTAGTTATTACGGGTGTAGCGACACTAAATTATTTACTGTTCAGTACTGGTTTGAAAAGTTTTACAAACAATACCTCATTGCATGTTATATATAATTTACAATATTATGATGTCAATACAACTATGTAATATTTAGATATTGTCATGTTTTCACAAAGAAAGTGTTGAACTCATTCACCCCTGAAATTTCATAATGGCCTATTCCAACCTTTGAATTGGAAGAGTTCAAATGTGTCTTCAGGGGTGAATGAGTTAAGATATCATGTCAGTTATTAATTAGCATGTAAATTCTTCTAAAATGTATCTTTGTATGATACATGGCTTTTAAAATAAATAACATTTATTTGATAAATAATTCATGCATGGTACATATAAACAAAAAAGGTTGGCAACCTAGAGGGATAAGAAACCATTCCTAATGTTGATGGAAATTGTACTGTCTGATATCCATGCAGGGATTAGAAAATGAGCCATATCTGTTGATAAAAAAAAAATCCTAACTTTTGCTCTGTATCCTTCCATTGCAATGCATTGAGAAGGCGTATGTTGCCTCAAGTTCCTTTTGGCCAATTCTAATCAAACTGGATGTAAATAATCTTCCCATGGTCCTGAAGAAATAGTGTTCTATGTTTTAGTTTATTTGAAATCTAAAGATTAGGTAAGACAGTTTAACTTCTCTTCAAGCTAAATCAGGTTCAGTTTTAATTATCGTCAATCCATCTTTGATGAGTAGTATTAATATTGCTTTTAACCTTTAAAATACTGACGTCTGCACTATCATCTAAATCGGGAGATACTTCTGACTAATTCTCCTGTTCCAACAGGCCAATTTTAACCAAAATTGTTACAAATATTCCCTAATTGCCCTGCATGACAATTGGATGAAAATTTTCGACTTCTTTGAAGACATGCCATGCTTATTTATTCAAACTATGTACAAATAACCTTTTTATACAAAACCAGTACTGTTATTGTAATTGTTTGATCGATCAGAATTGCATGATGGCAAACATAATATTACATTAGAAATGATACATTCAACTTTTTAGGTCACCTGAGACAAAGTCTCAAGTGACCTATTGCGATCGCCTTTTGTCCGTCGTTTGCAGGGACCTTCCATGGACAAAGGTCAACAAAAACAGTTAACGGTTTAGTCCTAAGTCCCCAGGGGCCTGAGGGGCGGGGCCAAAAAGGGTCAAATTGACTAAAATTTCAAAAATCTTCTTCTCCAAAACCCCTGAACCAATTTCAATGAAATTTTGC